ATAATATGCACAGATGAAAAGCAATATACAGGTAATATGCTGCACCAATTGTCTGTAATATAGCAAAGATGATCTATCTTCCCACAGTCCTTCTACACATATTTTTGGGTATTTCTGATATGCTCAAATTAGACTTTTCTATTTATTAAAGGAAAAGAGAGATTAGAAGTCTAGAGTAGCCAATAAATGGATTTCTGTCCTACCCTCAGCTTTACACTTTCTAGTTCTGCCTCCATGTGATATCAAGATTTTAGGCTCCTCCAAGAACAAACACATTTGCAAAGCCACTAGCAGCAGCATAAACTTTCTATAGAGGGGTAAGGAAAGCTAATCACAAGGCCTTCTTAATGAATTATTTTATTTTGCATTTTATTCTTTTCCAGATTCTCAAAATCTCGAATCAGTATTCCCAAAGCAAGGATTGCGAGGTCAGAGTTACTTGCAAAATAACAATACCAGTATTAATTTAGCAAAGGACTGAAAATTTTAATTTTTCTTTCAGCATAATAATGGAAATCTATTACCCCAAAACTATATTAAATCACTTAGATACTAACAAGACAAAAATCTTACTAAACCTTTTCTATTCCCAATGTGTTATATATTTAGTGAATATTAAATTTTTTTTACTTAAATGATTGTGTTAAGGTATATGCATTGCTATGAATTCCATGCATTTTAAAGAGGAAAATGGGGAGCCCTCACAATAAACGTACGTAGGAGGAACCTGGCTGCCTGTCAGTCCTGGTTTAAATAGCCAACAGGAATGTCTCACTCCTGACAGAGATAGGAATATGCTGAAAATCCACAAAAACCTGCTCTACAGTGGCAGACTCCCATCCTGGCACACAGGAGCAGCAACAGGCTGAGGAGGAAGAGCAGCCCCTCCAGCCTGGGAATAAGTCTCCCCTGCCTTGTGGCTGTGTCAGCTTTGAGCCTCTGCTGCTCAGGGCACGCCTGGAAACGCTCAATTCATCAGTGCTGACAGAGCACTCTGACATCCTGCACCCTCCTGAGGGCCACCAGCTCCCCAAAGCAGCTTCACTTCATCCCTCTCTGCGTCAGGACAAGCCTCCCAAAGACACGTGGCTGTGTTCCCAGCTAACTCAGGCAGCTTAGTTACCTCTGTGCTTTATTTGTTTGCTGTGCAAAGCAGGGGAGCAATTTTCAACCAGGGCAGTGAATTATAACTGGTGTAGTGTGGAACATTCCATTGAATGAACTTGTGCATTTTGACTGTGACTCACAGCCAGCCCTCTTGTACGTCATGCATAAATCATCTTCTCATAGTTTTGCAAAGTTACCATGCAAAGGAGAGCAAGAAAATGTGAGCAGATAGGTTTCTGCGTGAATATTATCATGCCCAGAACTGCCAGGGCCTCTCCAGAGTCAGAGAAAGGCCAAACTTTACATGAAACTGTTTCTGCGTGAATA